CAAAAGAAGATTGTGACTTGCACATTGCTCCACACAATTCTTCCGCAGTATACTTTGGACCCACAGTGCTTAGCTTCTTTAACATGTTTAAGCTACATTCAAAATTCATTTCTATTTAATTTGAATTAGCTATCCTTAGTCATGTTCACATGGAGCTAATGGGAAGTAATTTAACATGTTTAACGAGCAGTGAATTCATTTGAATTAAACATTTGAATAAACTCTCAGTGTGATTTGTAAGGCCATCCTTAAAAAATTGTTTGTTTGGAATTGCCGCCTGAAGGTTTTCAGACAGAGGAGGGAGGGAGGGAAATTTTTTTGTTTGTTTTAAACACATGTTAAATGGAAGAAAATTTTTAAATTTTTTATAAATATCTCAGTAAACAGTAAATACATTTTCTGACTTTAAACAATGATATCTACAATTAACAAAAAACCCCATAATTTTACATAGATATCTACACTATATATCAGTGTTTTGTATGGTGCATGTATTACATGTAATGGGCAAAAAAATTGATTAAATAAAAAGAAATCTTCCTACTTTTGATCAATAAAATTTTTTCAGGAGGGGGCATTTCAATGAGGCGGGAGGCAATTCCAACCAAACAATAATTTCATTTTGGCCTAATGTATAACAATGTTTTAAAGATAAAGAAATACCGTTATCAGTACCGGTATGAAATGAAACGGTATTTTACCGGTATTTTTGAAGTAACTATTCGGTACGGTACTGGTACCGTGTATCGTTGTCCAACCCTACCCACAGTGCTTAGCTTCTTTAACATGTTTAAGCTACATTCAAAATTCATTTCTATTTAATTTGAATTAGCTATCCTTACTCATGTTCACATGGAGCTAATGGGAAGTAATAACTAATTTAACGAGCAGTGAATTCTTTCGAATTAAACATTTGAATAAACTCTCAGTGTGAACACTGAGCATGGATGCACCAAATGTCAAATGCGGCTTGACAAGCACAATCTAAATTAAAACTAAATAAGTATCTGCCCTCACCCTTAAAGTCACACTGTCAATATATAATTAGTTGAATATATTCTGTAACACTAAGTGCAGTTTGAATTATAGGGTATGATCACTATGATAGATAGTTAAGTAGGACTGTTGTGTTGGAATTTTTGCATTTTTGGTTTTGAAAGTAAAAGTGACTGAGTGAGTAAGACTTGTTGAAATTACATTCTCAAATTTAAAAAAAATAAAATATAAAGCTGTGGGGATTTACAAGCCAAACAGGGAGCATCTGAACTGTAAGACAGATAATATATCGGTGTGTCTGTGTATTTCTAATAATATCAATGTATGTCACTGTCATGTATCGTCTCGTATCCTGTTTTCGACCGTATTGTATTTTCGACCTATTTTTCCCGATCTGCTCCCCGTTCCGATTCCGCGCGGTAGAACATTATTTTCGGTTGCTACACTTAGAAAAATACCTTTGAAGCACAGCTGTAGTGAAAATACCCAAAATAATTAATTCAACGGATTTTCCCCGATGGTTTTAGTCCGATGTCAGAAATTCTAGTCTTTTTACTAATGCACATTTTATCTGTTGATTAATCAAAACCGTAATCGGTTAATTACAAAGATTTTTTGATGAAATTTTTCTAAAAGAAAATTAAGATAAATGTCAAAGAGACGCAAGAATATTGAAATGAATGGGTGGATCAAACAATTTTTTTTCTACCTTAAATATGAGCACTTTCTTTTTTCAGATTCAGATTTTTACTTAAAAATGCAACGTAATTTCATTGATTTTTTTTGGAAATACACAGCTACTGACAGATGGATTCAACCAACGAATAAATGTATTTGCAACCAAAATATGCAACCTGTTCAATGTTTTTTTGAAGGACAGACAATCGTATTTTTATTGTTTGGAATATCCAATGGATATTTATAGGCAATACTGATTAATCGTTGATACTATATTTAGGTCGAAAACACAAGACGCTAATATTTTTGTAAGGAAAATGCACCCTTTCCATATTATGGCATATAAATAAAATAAACACAAAACTGCAATTTGGGTTATATCATTTTATTTAAAGACACATGTGCTAACATTTTAAGCCCATATTTTCTCAGATTCTATTAAGTTTGCAATAATTTAATAAGTGACATCTTAATAGGTCGAAAATACAATACGCCAGGATAATAAAAATATTCTAACCTTCATTCCAATGGTCCAAGCCAATCATACATTAAAATGTCGCCGTCAGCTCTTTCATCACTCGATACAATTATCACTAGGAAACCCCAAGCAGAGTCAAGAGTGTTCATCCTTGTTAATGTGACAGTTGGAATTTCCTCGTAAACAATTCACACAAGATTCTTAGAATATATAAATCTGGATAATTCTGCTTAGAATAATGTTCCAGAGGTGTGACAAAGTACTTCGTAGCTGCATGTCTACATACGTATTCTTTGGTGAGAAAATGTTCAACTTCACAAATCATTCTATTTTCAGTTTGTAAACATGTGTCCGACATCGACTCGAAGGGGCACACTAAAAACGGGATATACTAGAGACCTGATATTTACCTGACGTTTTAATTTTTAATTAAATGGTAATATTGAGTATTTTAACTTACTTACGTACAGACTTTATGACTTCGAGGCATATGCTATACAAAAATTCAATTGTTTGGAACATTCAGAGACAAATTTGAATCAGGTCAAATCAGTGTTTAGTACATCGCGTCTTTAGTACCTTCCTATTTCCCACAATGCCGCGCGTTGTTTACAAACAAAAATCCTCTAAACTAGGTACTAATTATTGTTGTGTACATCATCACATTTTAAAATTATTTGAATAAAAAGAAAACAAAGAAACACCGAATCAAAACTATATCTTTTAGATGCATCAACTAAAAATGTGCACATGCAGTAAAGGCTTGGCTGGCTATAGTAGACAACTTGTTCCTGAAAGGTTTCTCACAAGTATACTTGTTTTATATAAAAAACAATTAAATATAGCTGGGAGTTTATTTCTTTTTATATCAAATGACAAGATTTTATAAGTTCGAAATTATTTCAGTCAAACTTTTTCATAATATACCAATATTTTTAGCTATCAGAAAAAACGTGTATGAGCTATTAACCCCTAATTATAGGGGCCAGCCCCTTTTCATTGATCTAATATGAAAGCTCTCGTAATTACACACAACTTTTGTTTTATATTTCTTACCAAATTATTCTCGGTTCAAAAGTTATTACACAAAAAGTAGCAAAAATTCAAGAAAAAAAATTACTAAAATTTGCCGTTTTATAGCTTCCAAACCTTAGGAAATCAGCTTATAATTTTATCGTTCTGCACATCTACAATGTATTGGCTACAAGTTCTCCAACTTTCGTGTAAATATCTTACGTCGTCCTTGAGATTTTTAGCGGAAACGAGACATCAAAATTTTCAATTAAAGGGCAATAACTCACAATTAAAGGCATGCATCAAAAAATTGAAAACAGGTGTAAATAGGTTTAATTACAAGGTATCTAACCTGAAAGTTTCATAAAAATCAGTCCAAAGGTCTTTGAGAAATCGCCTGTCAAAAATCGAGCGGGAAAAAAAAATAAAATAATAATAAGAAACAGTAGAATAACAGTAGGGTCTTCCGAAGGAAGCGGAAGACCCTAATAAAAATAGTGGAAAAGAAACCTAAGAAACACAATAAGGTCTTCCGCTGAAGACGGAAGACCTTAAAAATAAGAAACAGAGTAAAAACAATATGTTCCCCAACTTCGTTTGGGGAACATAATATTAGGTAAACTAGAGCAAAGCTCGTTGCAAAGCAACGAGTAGGTCTTCCGTCCTGTTTGACCGGGAAGTAGCTTTCATTTTTAACAAAAATGAGAAATAACGACTAAAAATGGTTAGACTCCTCTAAAGCTATGTTAATTAATGCAAAATAAGCTATTTTTGGCTACTTCCGGTTTGACCGGAAGTGACGACGACGGACGAAAAATTAATTTTTATGCTCCCAGAGACATATGTTACACAAAAACCTGTCAAGAAATGCAAAAACACGCGTTTTCCGACTACTTCCGGTTTGGCCGGAAGTGACGACGCCGGACGTAGTTTGATGACCCCAATAGATTAAGCTTGACATTTTAAACAACTTTGCTTCTTTGACTTATTACAAATTCTCAATACGTTTTGAGATATAAAGAAAAAACTTTCGGCCCCTCTGGGCCCTTAATTTTAGGGGCCAGCCCTTTTTACGAGATATCATTCGAAAGATCTTGAAATTCTACACTTCTTTTGTTCTATATCTTTTAACAAATTATTTCCAGGTAAAACGCTATCGTGGAAAAGGTGTTAAAAATTTTGAAATTCGCGATACGTCTATTTTCGGGCCATAGGAAGCGCCGACTTGTGGAATTTCCGATAAAAATGAAAAACCTTATACATATCTATAGACTTTGGTCTATCATACCTGAAAGTTTCGTGTTTCTATCTTGAGCCATTATTGAGAAAACTGCCGGACAAAATGACCCACTAAAACTCACTAAATCGCAGAAAACTCCGAACCGGAAGTGACGTCATCAAATTTAGAAAAAACGCCTTAAGTTCATATAATTTGTCATCAATGCTGAAAGTTTCATGAAAATCCATCGGCGCATTTACGAGAAATCGCCTGCACAAAATCGGTAAGAATAATAATAAGAAAAGTTGAAAAGAAACAACAGAATAATAAGAAGGTCTTCCGTTGAAACGGAAGACCTTAACTGAATTCCCAACGGTGGTATGCTTCTCTTGTACCACAGTTCTGAAAAAAATTGATGCGCATTATAGACAGAGAGAATGACCCACTTATTTTTATCTCTCTTTCAGGTACATGTAGCTTGTGCAGACAAAAAGCTGACCAAGATGTAAAAAAGCTAAAACTCATCAGGATCACCATTGCAATACCCTAAACATAGTGTTTCCTGGCTTCATATCTACTTATTCAGGCTCTGATAATTTATTCCTGTCAAACAGTCTTGACTCGCCTGGTGAAATGCACACTGAGGGGACACGATATCTTTTGTACGTGTTTGGACAGACGACAGCCGTAGCCGTAGTGTTGTGTGTTTTGTTGTTTTATCTACTGAAGTTGACAAGGATTTATCAGGTGAAAGAAAAGGATTTTATTCTCTCTTCTAATTTGGGTTTCCTTATTTAATGTTGAATAAAAGAGTGGGCACCGGGTATTTATTAATTACCATTTACAACCTTTAAACAAGATACATTGTAATTTTATAACCGACACATAACATTTTCATCATATCTCATTCAAAAGGTACTATTCTGTAGATTTTAATATCAATCATCCTTTTTACAGTATGTTGAGCCGTGGTTTAAATCAAAAGCAGCTACACTTAGAGCGAAAATTAACAACATATTCGCTTCAGTAAGTTTCCATTTAAGTACATACCAAGCTATTGTAATAAAGGGATACTTAAATTTTTTTTTTAGTCCGTGATTATATTTCAAAGAAAATTGTAAGAAAACTTGCTGTGCTTAGGAGAGTGAGTTATTGTATGCCACCAAATGCATTAATTATTGTATTTGATAGTATTATATTTCCGCATTTTACTTACTGTTCCACTGTTTTGTGCAATGTGAATAATCAAATGTATATAGTAAAGTTATTCAAACTTCAAAAGAGGGCAGCTATGATCCTCTTAAACATTCGAGATATTTTAACTCCTACTACCTTTTTATTTTCCTGTTTAAACTGGATGCCAATCAAGGATTATTTTATGCTTAGACAGGTCATATTTCTATTTAAGGTTTTAAACAATCAAATGCCAGATTATTTGAATGTGGTTCAATATACAAAAAATGTCAATTGTCGCCAAACCAGGTCGAATGATTTCATGTCAACTATATCGTATTTACCCTGAGCCAAAATAGAAAATTACAAACGTTTATTTAGATATTCATCTGCATTTTTATGGAACAAACTATCACAAAATGTACAAAATTCTAGGTCAGTAGATATTTTTAAATCTGTGTATCTCTCTGAGTATTTTAACAGACTCAATACTTAAAATAGATTTTTTTCCCCAATTTTTGAGTGTACCTTCTTAAAAGATAGGTTTTTTTATTTTTATATATGTACATGTATGTGTTGTACTTTTATATCTTGTGTTTATATTAAGGTGTTAATTTTATATGTTCTTATGTGATTGTAAATATGTTTTAATGCAGGACCACAATGAAAACTAGCTTTATACTAATTGTTTTATTCTGGATAAATAAAGTTTATTATTATTAAACTAGAGAGAGCGAACATGTAATGAAGTCCTTATCTGTTCTGTTTGATCAGGATCCAAGATTGAATTGGTCATATTCATGCATATTAAAAAAATTTACATAGCGTACTTTATTCATAGTTTTATTTAGATTTTAGAAATTTTAGAAAACATACATATGATATTAATGTACACGTAAGTGTCTTCAACAGAGGTTTTCAAACCGAATCCAAATTTCCATTTTGAACAAAATAGTCATATTTCAAAAAAATTATGATACCTTATGTTCTTGTATTATTTTTTGATATACTAGTATTTATATCCACAAATTTTTCCTGTAAAGAAAGAAGACCATTCTGGCTTTTCGCAGCTTGATTTTGCTTATCCTTTTGTAAAAAATATGAAAAAATGATTTTTAATTAAATTCAGTGCCAACATACCGGAAAGATAACCAACCCGCTTATATAAAGTTAAAAGTTAAGTTGACAGAAAACTTTTTTAAAAAATGCCTTTATTGATAAATAAGGCAATTGTTGAATGTGATTTGCTTTTTGATGACTTAGGTAGCATATTATAGGTTATATTTGTGTTTCCTATAAAGCAAACAATATTAATTCTTTTATTTTGCAGTTACAGGTATTTCCATCAGTGAAAACTATCAATACCAAAACATCATCATCAACATCAAAGTACAAGTCTACTCCAGAAACCACAAACCTAGCGCGGGTAGCAAGACTAATCCTTGGACCATGCACAGATCTGCTGCGAGAAATTCTCAGAGCAAATATCTCACCGTCCGACCTATCAAAAACTGTCAAAATTTGGATTGATGATCTAAAAAAGAAAAAAATAAAGAATCCGTTGAATAAACAACAGATTGCTCTCATATTTCCACTGCCAACCAAACAATATGGCGGAGATTACTCTGACTTTGATATTAGTTTTCTGTACATTCTTCTACGTAATGTATGTAAAATATCTCCACACAATAAGGGATGGGGAGAAGAACCCGATCCCACGGACAATAGTGTATCTGCCAACATTGAAAGAATCAGACTGACAAGAAACAAGTACTATGGACATGCAGCAGATTTCTCCCTCTCAGAATCAAACTTTATAAGGGAATGGCAAAGCATTTACAATATTACAGTCGAGCTTGAGCGATGCTTAGGAAGTTTGACTTTATACCAAAATGCTGTGAACGATATAAAGACATGTTCCATGGATCCAGAAATAGAAGCCAGATACATTGAAAAGCTTTTACTTCTCGATGAACTGTGTGAGACTGTAAAAACGCATTCAGGTATTTTTTATACGTAAATTATCTCTGTCATTTTTTTTTCCAGGCGTCGTCATATTTACATTTTCTTTGTTTGTGAAGTCTAATATAATTCACTTGTTCCAATTTTAAGTCTCAACGAAGCTTTTCTAATTTAATGTCTGTCTATTGTGGTCATTATAAACTTTGCACATTTTTGCAGAATAAAACATTTCTTTCTTCTTGTCTTTGTTCAAAATCATATAATGTAAACGATCAATTAAACGTGATCTAATGATTGTAACTTGAGTTCATGAGTATATCTACTAGAATTAAATGAATTTCCCAAAGATTAAGTTTACCCTTGAAAATGGATTTATTTATTAAATTTTGTCGAATTTTTCCATAGTCATTGATTGTTATGACTTCTGTTGTTGTAAAATTGAGAATGTTTCAAGTCAATCATGATCTTTAGCTTTCTATTGTGAAATATTATAGTGAAAAATAAATTGGTATTCAATGATCATTAAAAGAATCCCTGATTTTTTTTTTTTTAGAAGAAATAACAAAGTTACAGCATGCAACGAGTGTAATCCATCCAAATATAAAAGGTTTGTTCAAATATATTTGCAATCGGGTGTAAAGAAAGCGAACGGTTTATATACCCGTCTGACAGTGCCTATTTATGAGAAATGTTCAGCTTTAAGTTAATATCTGTATGTATTAATTCACCATGATCAATCAGCAATGCAATTTAATTTGCATATATTTTCAGATGTTCACCAGAAAAAATATATACGCTGCTGGAAAGAAGAAGACAGCGTTTTCAATGAAACTCACAACTTTCCTGCAATGCTGGATAAAGTCCGGACACAATCTTATATGACATTTGTTGGAGTCCCAGGATCAGGAAAATCAGCCACAATCCATCACATAGCCCTGATACTCCAGGAGGAAGGTTACGAGGTTGTACCTATTATAGACATCAGTGAGGTTTACCGTTTTTGTGACTCCAATAATCCACAGGTGTTTGTCATTGATGATGTGGTAGGTGTGTTGGGTCTTCAAAAACAAAAGTTACAGGCTTTAGTAGACTATGAAAAGATAATTTCAGATCCTCCCAATAAAAGAACAAAAGTATTGATGACATGCAGGGAACTAGTGTTTAATGAATGTTACAAGTCATTTTTCTCAAATAAGGAAAATGTAATCAAAATGTTAAGTTCAGAAAATGCATTAAATGATGATGACAAAAAAGCCATTCTTCAGAAGCACGGCTTGGATAAAGATTTATTGTCCCCTACATTACTGAGAGAAGCATCGGCGATGTTTCCTCTTTTGTGTAAACTTTACTCAAAAGAGGAGAAATTTAGAAATGATGTTGAAAGATTTTTTACCTGTCCATCTGGATACATTTTAGAGGAATTTGATAAAATGAAGGAACAAAATAGATTACAATATGCTACGTTGATATTATGCCTGTTAAATGACAATAAATTATCAAAAGAAATATTAAAAGACACAGGGAATAAGGTTTTCTGTGAAATTAAATCAAAAGCATTAGAAAATTGTAAAGTTAAGAGTAACACGGACGCTTTCGAGTTTGTTGATGCATTGTCAGTAATGGAGGGGACGTACACAAAACTCTGTGGTACTGAGTATACCTTTATTCATGACTCAATGTTCGAAATCATTGCTCATCATTTCGGCTCTCGGTTCCCAAATATCATGTTACAATTTATGAGTAGCAGTTATATTGCTAACTATGTAAAACTTCAAAAAGATGAAATGCATAAATTAGAGAATGAAAATAAGCATGTGAGGGAAACTATTGTAGTCAATAGTGGGGGTAAAAAAGAAATAAACACTGCTTGTGACAGTTTAAGAAACGGGAAGAAAGAGGCTTTGAGTGCTGAAAATAGTGATAGAATGGAGGCATTTGATCTCTGTATAAGGATAGGGGAGGATCTATACTCTAGGTTAGCAGAGCGTTTGTACAGGGATATACAAAATATGGAGCTGTATGATGTTTTTATGAATAAGGTTTTAAAACATCCTACGGTTTGTCAGGCTTTTATTGAAGTGTTGGAGACAAAGTCGTACACAGAGTTGAAGTCTTTGTTTCTGTCAGAACAGAAAGACGTGTCTAAGGTAGTGAGTAAAAAAGAGCGTGTGAGGGAGGAGAGTGAGAAGAGGGATGAGAGAAGCAGAGAGAGGCGCAGACAGAGTCTGTTAGTGATTGAGAATGATGACGATAAAGAAATAACATACAGTGTCAGGGTTATCAGTTGGGTGGTTTACTACGGACACACTCAGATCCTACAATATATTTTAAAACAAACTGAATTACACAAAGAGACACAGTCTGAACTTTTTTTTAATTTTTTTAATCAGGATTTCATTTATTCAACAAAAGATGGGGAAAAGAACATTGAAGCACACAATAAAGTGGATAAATTACGGTCATTTACACACTTGGACATTGATGGGTCTATTTCTGAACAGCAGCGCTTACTTCTGCTGAGTTGTTACAATGGGACAATAGAAATTGTGAGAATATTTATTAAATATCTAAAAAGAAATACAATTTACACGACCTATCCAGACATAGATTTAAAGTTTATGTTAGGTGACACAGCACTTCAAGCTGCTTGTATTGATGGACTTCTGAGTGTAGTGAAAGAGCTGATAGAGGCAGGGGCTGATCTTAATTCAGTAAGTAAATTTGATTTTGATACTCCACTGACAGCAGCATGTAAAGGTGGATATATGAATATTGCGAAGGAGTTGCTCGGAGCAGGGGCTGATATTAATCATCAAGGTTATTTTAATACACCACTGACAGCAGCATGTGAGAATGGATATATACGTTTAGTGAAGGAGCTGGTGAGGACAGGGGCTGATGTTAACATTCCAAGTCTTCGTGATGGAGATACACCACTGACAGCAGCATGTGAAGGTGGATATATAGATATAGTGAAGGAACTGGTAAAGGCAGGGGCTGGTGTCAATTTTAAAAGTACTCATGCTTGTGGTACTCCATTGACAGTAGCATGTAAGGGTGGATATATAGATATAGTGGAGGAACTGGTTAGGGTAGGGGCTGATATCAATCTACAAGATAAGAATGATACACCACTGACAACAGCGGTTAAATATGGACACATAAGTATAGTGAAGAATTTACTTCAGAAAGGGGTTAATGTTAATCAATGTGTTGTCAACTACTCTACAGGGGTTTCTGATACACCGCTGACAGTAGCAAGCAAAGGTGGATATAAAACTATAGTGGAGGAGTTGCTCGGGGCAGGGGCTGATGTAAATCCACAAGATGTTGATGATATACCACTGTCAGCAGCGATTAAAGGTAGATATATGAGTGTTGTGAAACAGCTACTCAAAGCAGGGGCTTGTGTCAATCTGCGAGGTAAATCTAATAATTCGCCACTGGTATTAGCGTGTAAAGATGGCAATATGAGTGTAGTGAAAAAATTGATTAAATCTGGGGCTGATGTTAATCTACTATGTGAGGATCGTACAGCACTGACTGCTGCATGTGAGGGTGGACATCTATATATAGTAAGAGAGTTGCTACAGGCAGGAGCTATTGTAAATCTACAAGGTGAGTATCTTACACCACTGACGGCTGCGTGTGAGAATGGGCATCTTAAAATAGTACAAGAGTTGCTACAGGCAGAGGCTGATGTTAATTTTCAATGTGAGTATCTAACACCACTGACGGCTGCATGTGAGGGTGGACATATAAATTTAGTGAAAGAACTCCTGGAGGCAGGGGCTTATGTCAATCCACAAAGTAAAAAAGCAACACCGCTAATTACAGCAATTAAGGGTGGGAGAATGAGTATAGTGAAGGACTTGCTAAAAGCCGGAGCTAATGTCAATCTTCAGGATACGTATAATGATACACCATTGACAGCAGCATGTAAAATTGGACAAATCAGTTTTGTGAAGGAGTTGCTAGATGCAGGGGCTGATGTTAATCTACAAAATGAACATGAAACATCACTGATAGCAGCATGTTTTGGTGGATATTTAAGTATTGTGATGGAGCTGATAAAGGCAGGAGCTGTTGTAAATCTACAAACTAAATCTTTTAAATCTTACACATCACTGACGGCGGCATGTTGCGGTGGACATGGAGATGTAGTGGAAGAGCTGGTAAAAGCAGGGGCTGATGTAAATTTACATGGTAAATATTATGAACTATGGAAAAGGATACTACTCCGTGATAGAGGAATGGGGTTTTCCCGCAAAGAATCTTTCACACCACTGACAATAGCATGTGATAGTGGATATATAAATATAGTTAAAAGGCTTCTCAAGGCAAGAGCTGATGTTAATCCTCATGGTGAACATTTTACACCGCTGACAGCCGCAATTAAGAGTGAACATTTTAGTATAGTGATGGAGTTGCTTAAGGCAGGAGCTGATGTCAATCTAAAAGATAAGATTGATACGCCACTGACTGCAGCGTGTGGTTCAGGACATGTGATCGTAGTAAAAGAGTTACTACAGAAAAGTGCTGATGTTAATCTACATGGAAAGGTTGATACACCACTGACGGCAGCATGTAAGAGTGGATATATGAATATAGCAAAAATCCTGCTAGATGCAGGGAGCGATGTTAATATGCAGGATAAGGAAGGAAATACCCCTCTCTATCACGCTTTTGTAAACACACATAAAAGTTTCATCCCTCTTATACTACGAATGTTTGATATTTATGGTGCAGATTCAACTATCAGAAATAAACAAGGCATATCAACATTTTATCATGCATTAATTAGGAATGAAATTGGTTCTGTAAAGCAGTTATTAAGAACAGAGAATGAAAGTCAGTTAGACAGACTGAGGTTACATTTGTTTGAGTGTTTGGTAAATATAAGACACAGTGACGTGATGACTGATAGTAAGGATGATGTGGTGGTGACACGGAGACGAGTGTGGCGTATGGAGGAGAGGTGGGGAGATTTGTATGAGGAAATCATACAAAGTGATTGTAAGGGTTTAGAGCATCTGTTACGTGTTGGTCTGGATGTCAATCAGTGGATACAGCTGTATAATGATTATAAAGATGTGATGTATGATGTGAAACCTCTGCTGTTTGCACTGATTGATGATTATGATTTTGACAATAGATTGGTGGATAAGGTGAAGTTCCTTCTGGAGGCGGGGGTGGATGTCAATGTCATGGTGAAGTACAAAGAGTATGATTCCATGTCAGACAGTGAGTGTAATTCTGATTCTGTGTCAGACAGTGAGTGTAATTCTGTGTTAGACAGCGAGTATGGTTCCGTGTTAGACAGAGAGGGGGTGTCTGTTCTAGAGAGGACACGACGACTGGTGAGTGAGTTCAGAAAGGATGAGTGGAAAAGAGATGAAGTGTTTAAGTACACGAGAGTGATCAAGGAAGTGAAGAAACATGCAAGACGATACTCTGTGTAGAGAAGTTACAGAACGCCATATACTTCTAGTATTAAGACTTAATTACTATGAGCGTACATATTACCATAAACCTTTTGTAAAACAATGAAAAGTAATTTTTGATAGGGTTCAAATGTTTTATTTACACTATATATTATAGGTAGAACATTAACGTGTATTGGTGTATAAAACTGAGAATTATTTACTACGACGTTATTGGGCTAAAATAATATCTTATGTGGATTCATGTTATTTGATTAGACTGGAAAACCTCAGTTTATATTTATCATCCAAGCTATTTACACTTATTTTAATAATCATGTTTTTGAGTATTTAGATTTGCGAATGATAGATTTATATTTGTTCTTTATTGTATTTCAATGTACATAAATATTTACATAAGAAAATTTAGTTTGCACATTGTACATGTTGTTCAATGTTCATCCACTGTTTAACAAATTTTAATAAAAATAATCAATACAGTATAACCATTTGTTTATTTCTACTTGACACTGGGTTAATACTTTGGTATCACGTTTCTTTCCATTATTAATATCCCTGGAATCTTTATTTACCAAAAATGAGATGGACCATGCATGATGTCTTGATGCTTGTGTCACTTTTTCCAATATTGATTTTTTTATTATTTATTTATTCGTGTTTGAAAGTTTAAAATTTTATTTTAAACACTTTATATTATATATGTAAACTTTTGTATTATTAAAAACCTGAATTTGTTTTGTGTGTGAGGGAGGGTGTGTGTGTGTGTGTGTGTGTGTGTGTGTGTGTGTGTGTGTGTGGCTCCCCCATACTGGGGACCTGCTACAGATACGCAAGTCGTAAAATGGGGACATAAAAAACATTGGGGACTTGATTTAAGTCCCCAATCTTTTTTATCGTTGAAAACGAAAAATTGACATGTCTAAACCCTAAAAATATCAAAAAAATAATGTGTCCCAGTTACGGGGTTTTATCGGACA